CATGGATATCGGAGAGCCAGACCACTACACACCACTGCGAAAATCCGACAGTCAACAGGAAGCAGGGTGATAGCGTCCAGTCCACTGGATGCACGACAGGAATATAACAGTGGCTAAGGAGAAGGCAAGGCAGTTAGAAGCCTGCACGGAACATGGAGGAAAAAGTGTTCCACCGGCAAGATTACAATGCCTGATCGTCAAAAAGTATTCAAACTGTTTTAGCCCAGTCTCCAAGTGAAATCAGGTCAACGTGTGTAACCCACTTGCTTAATATTTAGAAAGATGATGCCTTTAGAGGACGTGGCTACCACAGCGCCACAGGGTTCAGCGTATGAACATAACCTGGAAGGATTTTGAGGTCGGATTACAAGAAGTTTAGACTGTCTAAAGACGCTAATATTGGAGAGCCAGACTATATACAACTACGAAAATCAGACGGTCAACAGGAAACGTGCTCAGTTGACCGGATGCACAATAGGAATATAAAGGTGGCCACAGAGAGGACAAGGCAGATAGAAGTTCCCATACCAAGACAATGCACGGTGCTACGCTCCTCTTCTGTTTCGCCATCGTAGCCATCACAGCAGTCTCCGCAAGGTAAGTTAACAACCTGCGCTTTCCTCCAACTCACGTTCATTCTTTAGTGACGACGTAAGTCTAGCTTTACCACTTAATTCCTGCTGCTTCACTTTATGCCAACTCCACCAATAACACCTTATGGAATTTATAGAATTCAAGCAGTAAACGCCGGTAGTTGAGGAACGTGAAGGGGATATGGTGGCGTAAGACACAGAAGCTGGCCAAGATCCTGAGATTGCCTAGGCTGGACCTGGTATAGAAGATAGTAGTATTATTGGTGGCGATGAGGAAAATAATTATGCATAAGTAGAGTTTGACATGGGAAATCCACAAATATTCTCTCCCTAGAGCCTCCAAAATATCAATCTCGATTTAAAATACAGAGGCATCAAATTAGACATTTTCCAATCAGTACCCAGTAGGAGCAACAGAGAATATATGTGTGTTGGGTCAATAAATGAAGGAAATTCAACATGAATAGTTTTCATTAATCGGACAGGATGTGCGCGAACTACGATGCTGAGCAAGTTCGCAGAAATGAAGTTCTTCAAAGAGGATTAACTTGGCATGCAGATGGAGGAACTCGGTGAAACACTCTACGACGTTGTGGAAAAAGGTAAGTCTTTGCACCTCCTCCCCCTTCACTGATGGCCACATTTTTCTTTAGTTCGGCAGCACGTTCGAGCGGGCTTGAGGGCGTATCTTCGCAAATTGCGGGCTCATGGAAACACCGACACAGTGACAGCTCCCCAGGAATACCTTTGAAGACACCGTAATTACTCGACTTCTACGCCTCATTTCCGAAGCAGCTATGTCCCCCCTTCTATTGGTTGCCATTGAATAACATACAATTTAGATGACAAAAAGAACTTTAGTTTTACACTCATTGAGGGAATAGCCACACTCCTCTTCCCGAGGGGCATTAAAAAATGCAGCCTGTGACAAGACAGGATCGAAAGGTAGACCTCTCACCACCAAAAAGTACAGAGTACTCTAAGAGTGTGCTGCGCAAAGCAACGGGTCTCAGTGTAGAGAATATGACGCAGCCAGACCCGCGAAGGGGTATTTTCAAACGCGATAAAGAACGCCAATCCCGTGGAGATGTCTTAGAGTGCGTTGCACTAAATAACGGGTGTCGGCAGCAAGAGGATGACGCTGCGAGAGATGTAAAGGGCCTATCGCAGGGGGTTAAGTGGAGTTAAGCCCTAGCTACTGCGATCTTCAGACCATGGCTCCTTAGGAGGGAAGAAGTCGGTGGAGGCCAGAATAGTAGAAATAGTTTATTCTGTATGCAGCATTGGTGGCACGTTCAAATGCAGGCAGCAGCTACCCGTAGCCTTCATAGCATTCCCACTCCGTGGAATCTCAGTCAAGCATGACGGCTCCGACTACCTCCGGTCTTTTATGAGTCAGGCCTGATACCGGACACAGGCGGGAAATGCAACGCAAATCTACTATCACTAAAAAAGCTAATCCAAGCGCTTAAGCCACCGTCCCTATATCACCACGCCGTGGAGTACACGGCAGACATCATCGGAATCAAAAGTCGACCTGTCGCTCCCCCAAAAATTAACCCTGAAGAGAGAAAGAGCGTGCAAAAAAGCATAGTAACATGGTTTATCATCATCATCTTCTTCTTTATCATCCTGAACAGTGGCATATGAAAAAGAAAAACACATTTTGCACAAAATTCCAACGAAATTTACACGGTGCAGAATGGCAGTCAACACAAATGGCATTAAAACGCAAGGAGGGCCAAGGGGAGGAGGGAATAAAAGCAAAGGTTAGCGTCAGTACACAGCCTTCTTTTGTCTCAGAGTTAGCAGAAGGAATTCGCAAGCGGTGACTGGATTCAGGTGGTTGGCTGAGCGATCGCCCTTGATGAAGAAAGACCTGTTGAGAGGGATGGAGGGAAAAAAGATGCTTGTGAGGCAGTGTAAAGCGCTATAAGGGGCAACGCGATCGGTTAGTTGAACGGGGTGGATAGGGTAGATACGCAGGAAAAGGAGCCTTTCAACGTCCGACAGGGACCACAAGCAGGCACCTCCAAGTGGTGCGGACCTACACGCGTGAGACTGATGCTGAAACAGATGACAGTACCTCTGATTCCCATGGGCAGGGGGGGGAACACTCTTCAGCAGGTTACCGGAATGGACAATCGCCTGGCGACACCGAACAGGGTACTGCCGCCATGAAACCACGGAACACGAGTGGGAAATTGAAAAAAAAGGAGCTAACAGTTTAAGGCCCACTTTCTTCATTCTGCAATCTCACACTGCACCCCCGATCTAGGCCGGAGAGACAAAAAGTCCGTGGTTCAATGGTTTGAGCGCTGAACTACCGATCAAAAGGTTGCGGGTTCGGACCTCGGGTGGGGCACCAGTTAGGTTTGGGTAATGCCATCTGCCCAGAGAGTGTAATGGTGAGGAAGAAAAAAACAATCGCACATGAAATGACCGTTTCTGGCCTTCGCGTTATTCAAACTCGACGTCACCGATAGGTTACGGAACTCAGTCGTCCCATTGTGCCTTGCAACCCGCATCTGAGCCCCGCCACCCGTATTTTTAAACGTACGTAAATACCTACTTAAACGGATTTAAGTAGCAATAGATGTTCACACTATGGATCGAGTTGTACGTTCTCGTAACCTTTTTCGATCACATGATGCAGCAGCATGCAGAGAGACTCACATGAGTTCGCGACGGTGGGTGGCGAGCAGATCAAGATCATGCTTCTGGGCACGCGCGGCAGCGATGGCGGCGGTGGTGGAGGAAACAGAAGATTCGGAGGAGGAGGGAAACTTGTCCAGCGGTCTGTC